AATGTATATGAAGGTGCATATTAGTGATGGCAGTGTAGGTGAATTGTCCAAGTTAAAGATAACATCATGATGTGTTATACAGTCCGAATGACCTACAGAAGCACTCCGTCCTGCGGCGAGGATGTTTAAGTTGACTGAAGGAACTGCTCAGCCTCCCCACAGTTTCATGCAGAGGGTGGTGGGGGWYGTYCATGATGGCTGTCARCTTTGCCAACATCCTCCTCTCAYCYACCACTACCACAGGCTCCAGAGGACATCCCAGCACAGAGCTTGACCTCTGTACCAATTTGTCCATCCTGTTCCTGTCCCTTTTGGTACATCMAGCYCCCCAGCAGACCACTCCATAGAAAGTGGCAGATGCTACCACCGTGTCGTAGAATGTTTTTAACAGAGTCCTGCAGACACCGAAGGACCTCAGCCTCCTCAGTAGGTGGAGTCCACTCTGGCCCTTCTTATACAGGATGTCTGTGTTCGTAGTCCAGTCCAGCTTGTTGATGAGGTGAACACCCAGGTACTTGTAAGAGTCTACTGTCTCAATGTCTTTTCCCTGGATGTTTACCAGTGCTGCAGGGGGTGACTTCCTCCTGAAGTCTATGACCACTGCAACTCATTACATTAGTTTCTACAGTTATGGAAGAATAGCTACCGGCATAGTTGATAAAAGTAAGTTAAGTCCGCCTTTGACAGACAGTTTTATATACATCTTTTTTTAATTATTAATATAAATTAAGGACAGGACAAGTAGTAGTGATGGCACGTGTCTCAATAAGTAATAAATTGCTGTATTTGGCAAATAACCTATTTATGATAACAATAAACAAAATCTTTTGAAATTCTGTTATGACTTTTGGTTTTGGTGTGCCGCCGGTCCGTGTATCTTTTGGTCATTGGATTTTCATTTTCGAAACGAGCATTAAAAAACAAGAAACGAGTGGTTATTCGATTTTTGCTTTAAAATACTGGAATTAAAATTAAGATACAAAGCGTTTTTCATTCTTAGTGTCAAAAAGGGAGAAATGAAATTTTAAAAATGATACGAGTTTCATTT